GAGTGAATCTGGACACTGATAGGTAGATATTTTTAACAAAGGGTAAGTTCACATCATCTAACAGTGACTGACAGGGTATTTTGAAGTCATAACAGGCTAGAAATCCAAAGGGTTGCGAGATTCTGTGACAGAGTCCAGATTGGACTGTGGGGGCTGAGAAATGGGAGTAGAATGTATCCACTTTTTGGTTCATTATTGAAATGAACATTTTTCTGAGGATCACAAATCCCATCGAAGAACATTTCTAAACATGGAAGCACTTTTGGTGTTCTTCCCATCTGCTTCAACTCGTAAGAGTTAAGAACAACCAGAAACTCAGAAATGCACCAGGACTTAAAACGGTAACATTCACTTTGAAAATCTCATTGGAAAGAACTTGAGAATGTACTGTTATTCTGGTTGTAGCCACTCCAGCTCCCACCTCCACATTGTTCTTCCTTATAAAATATTATTTCCTTATTTCTTTTTGCTTCTCTCTTTCCTTTTTTTCCCTTCTTCCTTCTTCCTGCCTTCTTTCTCCTCCTCTTCCTCTTCACTCTCCTTCTTTTGTTTTTCAGGGTCTCACTATGCAGCTTGAACTCATAGTGATCATTCTGTTTTCAGCCTCCCAAGTGCTGGGATTACAGGGATGTGCCACCATGTCCCGACTTGGTCACTGGCTCAGCGTGCCAGGAGGCCGGGCCCGCATGGCATGTGGTGCCAAGGATTGAACCCCAGGCCCTGTGCTTGCCTAAGCAGGTGCTTAGTCTATTGAGCTATCTCGCTGGCCCTATTTTGGGGGTTTTCTTTTTCTTTTCTTTTTGAGATAAGATCTTACTTATGTAGAAACCCAGGCTGGGCTTGAACTCACAATCCATTTGCTTTAGCCTCTTGAGTGCAGGGACTGCAGGCATAAGCCACAGTGCCTACCTGGAATACATTCCATCCATAACAGTATCTGGATGCTGCCCTGTCATTGGGGAATCCCAATGGCTCTGTCCCACATGCTAGCTTCATATTTACTTTGCTTTGTCTTCTCCAAGATCCAGAGAATAACATAAACTACTTCTGTTCAGAGTGATTTTTCAGTCTTAAGCATTTCTTTTGCCATTTCACTTCATTTTTATTTGTCTAAGGACCACTGATGAGAAGGAAAAATCATTATGAATTTGACCCTAAAGATATTTAGATATTAACCAAGTCCAATAGAAGGCAACCTTTAAAAAGGCTAGTTTATCCAAGACTGGCCAGAATTTAACTGGGAGGAAAAAAAAAATAAAGTGAAATTTCTCAAGTTCAAGGGATTTCCTTCATAAAATTATAAAGATAAAAAGTGATGACTGGGCTATCATTAGCTAAGATCTCTTTAGGAAACACAAGATACAGTTTTAGAGGTCAAGTACTAGGACAGTCTTTTCATTTCACCAGCATATTAACTCTTCAGTAGTTAAAGCTCAAAGATACATCTTGATTTTTCAAAAATATCACTTGTTAATTAGGTCAAACATATTAACTAAGTGACAAATTCAGTTGAACTATTTTTGTATGAATAGAATGACTATCACAACTTTTCATTGTTTAGCTATAACTCTAGGCTAGCTAAACTATAGCTCTAGGCTAGC